CGTAGTGTTTATGCTAAAAGAGATAACTACTTTTTAATATCTGTTGATCAAGTAGAAATAGTAAAAATTCTTTATTATAATATTAATATTATAATAGAGATAAAGAAATAAAATATTGAAGCTGCTGAGCATGAAGAGCCCCACAGAAGCATTTTAAACAACAAAACTTAACTATTAGCAGATTGTTGAAGAAATATAAACATACTGGTAAAACTCCAAGGTCTGTTGGATTAGGGAGGAAGTCAAATAAAACAATACTGCTAAAAATACTTCTCAAATAAAAGCGCCAAGTAACTTTATTGTAAAAAAGCAAATAAAAAAAAAACCTTTATTAGTAAAATTAATTGCAAAGAGATAATAGTAATGTATCAAGCATAAAAATTGGACAAGTAAACAGTAGGCTGAAGTTATTTGAAGCAATGAGTCTACTTTTGCTTTGTTTTATAATGGTTGACTTCACTATTGGAAATGAATTGGGGAAAAATTCAACCCCAATGTTTTAGTGCACACAAAGTTAAATGACTTTATCTTGTGTAAGGCACTATGAACCATCATTTGTATCAAAAACTCTTAGTTAACCAATTTGGACCAAGTATAACTTATACTTGCACTTATACAACTTTTACAAGTAGTAACCTATACTGTAGTCTATAAGTATATTTTCTCAATGGTAATTACACTCATTTTTAACATGATTCAATCAACCATGTTGAATGACATGTTATTATAAAATTCATTATGCTGGGGAATTGTTATCATTTTATGATATTGATATCTTAAACATACAGTACAGTTGAATAGAAGATAACTAAAATTTAAATTAATACCAGTTATGTACTGGCCAGCCGTCTTCTGAATCAAACCCATTTAGAAAGTTTTGGTCTATATTGGATAGAAAACTGCTTTTTTATAAATAAATTATTAATTTATTTATAAAAAAAGCAGTTTTCTATCTAACTTAATTAAGTTTGGCCTTTTTTTTTATTATTTCTTCGAATTCCACAAGAATTATTAGATTACTTAAGAAGTATTCTACAGTGGGATCCATAAATTATTTTATAATTTATCTTAATAACATTAGAGATATTTTAACAAAGTTTTCAAAACACTTTTTTGAGTGAAAATTATTTAACGTTATTAAAAAATATCATGGATCGAGAATTTAAAGGCTTGACTTTATCAAATGACTGTATTGACCTTATTTCCTGTAACTTAGTAAGTTTAATTAATGTCTAAAGCTTAAATTTAGGCCTTTAAATTATGCCTTATTTATCTTATTATTTAATATCTTATCAAGTTTTAATAAACTTCAAAGAATTGCATCTAATAAATTATTTAAATTATGTCTTCAGCTTTAATTTTAGTAACCTTTTTGTTTAAGCTTTCATTTAAATTTTTATTATTCGAAGAATATAGGACCGCCGAGAGTTGGGCATAAGGGGCAGTTGGTCCCGGGCGGCATATATGCAAGGGGCGCTAAATTAAATAAGGGCGCCACCAGAGTTGCTGTCCCAGGCGGCGTGCGACTCTCGGCAGAAGAATGACGTAAAATATTTCCATGACATACTTTATAACAGGCCCATTAACCGTGCGGATAATGTCATAAACTGAGGCGAGTTTTTTTAAACAAAAAATACAGAAAGAATAATCTGAACTAAACATAAAAATTAATATTTAAGGAAGAAATAAAAGTAAATTAAAAATGTATTAAAAAATCTATTAAAAATCTATTAAAAAATAATACTACTTTCTTCTTTTATTCTATTATAGTTATATACAGTAATTGATATAATTATTTTCTTCCTATTAATATAATTATTTTCCTAATACAATTATTTCCCAATCCTCGGACCCCTATTTTTCTTGATATATATAAATGATTTGAATAAAGTTTCTAACCTTATAAGTATTTTTATAGTTTCTAACCTTATAAGTACGCAGATGACACCATTCTATTCCTCTCAACCAGTAATATATATGAACTCTTTACCACTATGAATAAAGAATTGAAACATATATCAAACTGATTTAAATGTAATAAGCTAACTTTAACTTTTGATAAAACTAAATGGACTCTACTCCATTCGTATGCAAAAAAGCGATTTTTACCAACAAACTTCCCGCAACTTTATATAGACGAAATTGAAACAAAAAATTATTCTGTAACAAAATTCTTAGGCGTTTACCTTGATGAAAACATCTCCTTGAATCAGCAAATTAATTATGTATCTACTAAAATTTTAAAAAACACTGGGATTCTATATAAAGCTCGTATACGAGCTTTATATAGAATCCCAGTGTTTTTTAAGCAATTTTTATTAAGGTAGTTACGCGTAACTACCTTAATAAAAATTGCTTAAGTCAACTTTATTTCTAGTAAAAAGAGTTATACACAGTTTTATCCACAGTTACACAAACTATGCTAAGACTGCTTGGTAGTACTGTAAAAAGTTAGAACTTCTTTATTGTCGTCAAAAACATGCGATCCGCATAATTAGCTATGCTGATTGTTTTACACATGCAAAACCTTTACTGAAATTACTACTTTTTTACTAAAATGAGATTATTAGATTTATTTGAACTCAATGTATTTACAGTTTAAATATACAAAATATAAATATTTTGTATATTTATAGAGAAATTGTTTACCCCCTACTGCTTTTAATAATATTTTCAAACTCAAACCTAACAACAAATACGACATGAGAAACAAATTTTTTAAATGAGCCATTTTGTCACACAAAATTTAATCAATTTTGTATTACTTATCGTGGACCCCACCTATGGAATAATATTGATCTGCGGAATTTCGATCAAATAACTTTCTACTATCTTTTCAAGCTCAATCTAAAAAATGTACTTTTTCACTTGATAATATACTCAGATACTTTTAATATTTTGAAAATTGTTATTTAACTTGGATTTATTACTTTTTTATTTTAATTTTTACTTTACTTTTTAGTATGTTATACATTTCTTTATTTTGCTTGCTTGTATTTTATAAGGTTCTGACGACAAGATCTTGTGATCTTCTTTCAGATCCTAGTTTATGTTTAATTGTTAGCAGTTTATATATGTACGCATCTACGCATTTGTTAATGCATATATGCATATATATATATATATATATATATATATATATATATATATATATATATATATATATATATATATATATATATATATATATATATATATATATATATTTATATATATGAGTTTTTTCTTATTTTAAATATGCTGATATTGGAATTTTTTTTTAATTGTAACACCATATATACGGTATATAATTGTACTGTGAAATTTTTATGTAAGCGAAATATTAACCATTGACATAATAAATACAGTAAACCCTCCACGTACAGTTAACCCTCCACGATTGATTTCCTCAGTAAAATCTGTAAATTTCTCATAATAAAAATATGAGTCTTTGCCATTTCGAACAATATAACCAGCTATGTAAATTAGAGTCTTTTGACATCTATAGATAATATATTTTCTAATTCTGGCAAATTATCAAATATCCAAACTTTTTTTTTTCATGTTTCCAAATTCTAACAGCTTTTGATGATTAAAATCACCAGAAGAGAAAATAGCTTTTTGCCTTTCAATTGGTTTCGGGAACACTGCAACATCTGTAAGTTTAGTCATTTTAATTATTTGATTTGAATCTAATTTATTCAATGCTACTATATGAGACCATTTTGCAACTTTTTTTCTTTTTATTAACAAAAAAGTCAAACTCCTGTGACTTTTCAGCGATCCAATTATTGCGAATATTTGTGAATAGACTATATCTTATTATAGTCTATTCGCACGTTTAAAAAAAATCTCAAGTTAGATTTTTAATATAAAATTTTTCTTAAACAAAAAATGTTTATAACTTAAGTCATATATTTGTGAAAGCAATTTAATTTTTTTAATCAATTATAATAAAAATAAATAAAATTACTTGAACTTTATTAAATTATTATTCAAAAAATAAAACAAAAACGTGCCAATAGATAAAATAAATATTGAAAAATACTTCTTTTTTTTAATTAAAAGATTGCCTGCCCAAGCCAAAACCCTCGTCATTGTATTTCTACTTATCCCTAGATAAGCAGTCAATATGTATATACACTACGGTGCGCATATCCTTCAAACGTCAGTCAACGTAAGTACTGCGTTTGTACTCCACTGCGCAAGTTTAATTTTAAAGTTAAAAACCAATAATAACAAATCTATTTTTTTTAATTTTCTTTAAATTCGACGATCTTTACCTTTTTTTAATTAAACGTAGGAATAAAATATAAATTAAATAAAGTCTATTCGCATGTGAAAAACGAGCGAGTAGACACTCCAATACTTTTTAAAAGGTGCACAAAATCATACTGAAATATATATTATCTTTTGTTCGCCAAGGTACGCCATCTGTCTCAAATTTCTTGAAAAAGGCTTGGTTTATCCTGTTACCATCACAAACTATAGAAATAAAATGGCCACCTGCTGCTTTTGCGGCATTTTCAAAAAGTTAATTTAAATTGATGTCACGCACATATTACATATAATAAACATATGCGTTATGATGTCACGTACATTTAACATGGAACACTTGTGTTATTAACGAACTCTAACAATTGAATCAAAACTTGATTTTCTGTTTTAGTATTAAATCGATCAGTTCCATTAAATTTATAGTTTTCTATGTTTGTTTTTAAATCATTAAATTTTATGATATCTTTTCAATTAAAAGCAGACAACTCGTCAGGTTGAACATTTCTAAACTTGGTTTTACACACTTAAATACAGATAGAGAATCACATGGCCATTATCTTTTATTGTAACGCATCAAACAAGGCACTGGCAACAAGCTGGTACCTTTCACAAACAACGGCGTCTTTCTTATCTGGTATGTTGTCTTTGGTATAACAGCCAACCACCTTTTTTCTTTCTTCCGGTGTTCGAGGAAGACGAAAAGTTTTTTCTTTAGAACTTTTATCATAGTTGCCGTTGCAATT